AAACATAGAAATAACTTGAACCAAACACCCCCTAAGAGTGATGATGAAGTGAGTAGGCAATGCAGTGAAGAAGTCGATGAAGTGTGAAGAGGTGAGTGAGGAGGCAATGAAATGAGAAGGGATAAGGTTGAATTAATGGAATTATACCAGATTTAAATTAGGTATTAGGTAATGGGTTTTATAATTATAGGAGTAATCAAATTTATACATGTGTTTTAAAAAGTTGTCAACCAAACAATGTGTATGACTTTCATTCCCATTCCTTGTGTCTAACCCCATGTACCAAACACACCCTAAATTTGTTATGAATATAATGACTTGCAGCAATCTTGCATAGCGAACTAAAGGAAACACATGCAATGACTGATCACACAAAGTTATGCTCACTACTGCATGTCATAGAAAAGAAAGAAGTAGAAGGATATTTTTTGAAATGATAGATTCTGACATTGACTGGAACCTAGTTTGCTGAAACAGAAAGGATATAATCAGTCATAGAATTAAGCAATCAGCCAAGCATCCAAATAATAGAAATAACTGCATAGCAAAAAAGCATGCTTGGGTGGGTGGGTGTGCAGACTTACCATTTGCTGAAGAAGATTTTGTACCTGTCAGGGTTAATGAAAGAAAAACAGGGGAAATAGTTAGCAAAATGGATCAGCCGCTTAACTGAATCTATCGGTGATCAAAACACCAGACAGACCAAGTACTTTAAAGATAGCCAACAAGTTAGGTGAGCTAGGGATTATTAAGTTATGAGTAAGGGGTGCCTAGAATTCCAAGTTTTCATTCATGGTCAAATTCATGCTTTTTTTCAAATAGAAGATAATGACTATAAAGCACAACTATAGTATAATTCACTCAAAAGGGAAGAAGTTGGAGGACTCACAATACTTTACCCTTACACACATTGAAACTCCAGTGTGCATGTGGCATCTATACTAGAAAATAATGAGTGACGGTCTACCCCACTATGAATATTAAGACTCAATACTAATGTAAAATAAAACTCTCCACTAAGCAAATACAATCTAGAAAGTATAACTCAAGATGATCTAGATGCGTTCTCAACTTTTCAAATTTAAAAGTGTATACTCTCACCCAATCCTTACTCGCACTCAGCAAATAGATTCATAATAGCAACCCATATGTTAAGTTAATAACACTCCAAACATTAGATTAAGTCTCTTGTTCATTTTATGGCCTTTATAAACATTTGCAGGGTAATTTTCAAGTTGAAATAACCTTAATCTTAATTCCAGTAAACATAAAAAGTTTATCAGTTTATTGTGGAAAACTTACAAAGATAGTCATATCGGCAGTGCTTTGCTTTGAACTGTCTGCATCATGCCCATCCTGCAAGCAAGGCAAGTATCCTAAGTTAACAACTAATCCATCAAAAGCAGCAGTGCTTCAATATAGCAACCATATAAATCTGAAAACTGCAATTAGGAAACTGTAATTAAGCTAATAAAGGCTCAAAAAGCACGCAGAGTTGTAAGTTGAAATGGCAGAAAAATGCTACATAGTAAAATGAACTTTACTGATAATATCTAGAACTGTCTCAAGTTTTACAAATTAAACCATAATGTTTCTGTTACAAATTAAAAGAATTCCCTATTTTTGTAGCTAGTCTAATACAATTTATTGTAACCTGGAATGTTTCTGTTAGTGAAACTCATCATAGCTCATGTAGCTTTTATTGAAACAGTGATCACGAATCAAATGAAGTCTGCTCCATTCCAACTAATAGTGTCAGTAAACCATGATACAAGGTATCCAACTATCCATTGCACTAAATCACAAGAGAGACAATATGTTAACAATTTAACTTATGAATTCAGTTTTATATGTCGGGTGTCCACTACTCAACTTAAATGTTGTGACAGATGGTAAAAAGGGAAGCTCAGAACATATGTAAAGCCTGAGCTCAAGTTATTAACTTAAATTTACAATAACAAGCTTCACATCACAGCATTAGAATAGAACACGAGAAATGCCTCTTAAGTATACACTATCTCAACCTCACAAAAGAAAACTTTGGTTTATGTATTTTTCGGAAAACTTTGCTAAATTGTATACAACATGAAGTTAAGACTCTATTTAAAACCATGAAGTCAAGACTCTATTTAAAACCATGATCATGAAATTCTGATATTTTTCATTTGCTTTTATCCCAGCCAACTTCTAGATTACCAAACAGAATTAACAGCAATGAAGCTACATCAAAATAAGTAGAAAAAAAAAAATTAGAATTAAAGCAGAAAGCATTATAAGCAAGCAACCAAAACAGAACACAAGACAGATGCCTTTTTAAATTACACTCTATCTCATCCTGACAAACATAAGAGATCAAACACTATAATCAAATATTGTTCTAATGTGATCGGAAATTCAGAATATCGTGTCTTAACATTATTCAAAATTTTAGGTTAGAAAACCTTCTTAAAAGTATCATTAAATACCATGATTTCAACAAAACAAAAAAAACAAAAAAAAAAAACAAAAAAACAAAACAAAAAAACAAAACAAAAAAAAACAAAACAAAAACAAAAACAAAAAAAAAAAAAAAAAAAAAAATCTTTTACTCCCCAGCAATTTCTCCAACATCAAACAGAATTAGCATACGAAAATACATCAAAATACATAGAAATAGCATCGATGTTTACAAGAACTCATAATACGCAATCTGACAGAATTTACGAGTTTCGAATTGCGATAAATGTGAGCGAAAATTATGTAAACCCTAAACCAGCAAATAGAAAATAGGCCGAACTGATTTTCCAAAATATAATAATAATAAAGTTCAATTATGAAAGCAAAGAAGATTACCATATTTTCTAAGTTCTTCTCAACCTCCAAATCGCAACGGGAGGCTGTTTAACCAGTTTTCTGATGTTTGAGTGAAAAGACGAGACTCACGAGAGGCAACTTTTCAAGGAAGATGAAGTTTGAGATGACAATTTGAATTTCGAAATGACCAGTAGGTCCTCAATACAAACAATTCTCCCTCCCTTTTGGCCTTTTCTTTTCTTTTTTTTTTTCTTTTTAAATTGAATTAATTATACAATATCTAGTCGATCTAACTCAATTATGCATTATTAGTTTATTACGTTACAACATCTCCAATGACTTGATTTTTGCACAAATTTTCAGATGACAACTAGGAAAGATTGAGAGAGGAAAAAAAAAAGACAAAAAGAATCAAATTTTAAGAGAAAAAAAAATGGAAAAACTTGTGTTAACACACTTCGCGGGCACGTGTAGGGATGTCAATTGAACCCACACTCGACGGGGAACCCTATTCCCCGCCCCTACGGGAGCGGGGATCGGGACAGAAATAGGGGATAGGGGATGGGGATGGGGGCAATTTTGAATTCCCCGTCGGAGACGGGGGCGGGGATGGGGAGTACTCTCCCCGCCCCGCCCCGTCCCCGATACATATATATATATATTGCCACACAACACACACAAATGTAGTACTTTGTATACAATATATATAATTTTAGAAGTATTCTTGTCATTGTATGTCATGCATATTTTTAAATAAAATGTTTAATTGTAAAATATTGAATACAACTTTGAGTTCGGGATGAATATATATGCGTTATTTATTTAAATGTTTTTTAATGTTTAATTTTTATTTTTTTTATAACTTGTTAACGGGGTGGGGATTCCCCGTCCCCGAATAATCCCCGTGGGGATGGGGATGGGGGGAATTTTTCATTCCCCGGCGGGGATGGGGATGGGGACGGGGAATGGGAAGAAAGTCGGGGACGGGGATGGGGGTATGTCCCCCGCCCCCACCCCGCCCCGTTGACATCCCTAGGCAAGTGGAGTACACGCGCCCCACTGGGCGCTTCTGGTGTGCTTCACATGCACCAAAAGGAACCAACCGTTTTTTTAGTGGGGCCCATTTTTCTTCCAAAAATCTTGTTCTCTTGCAATGTAACAACTCATTTTCTTCTTTCTTCTCTCCCTCTCTCCTTCACATAAGCATTAGCACCTGCAAAAAGTAATGAAAAATCTTCCTATCATAATTAAGGGACACCTAGAATTCCTAGTTTTCATGGTCAAATTCATGCTTTTTATCCAAATAGAAGATATAAAGCACCACTATAATATAATTCACTCAAAAGATAAAGCAGTTGGAGGGCTCACAATACTTTACTCTTACACATATAGAAATTACAGTTTGCATGTGGCATTTATGCTAAAAAAAAATAATGAGTAACGTTCTACCCCACTATGAATATTAAGACTTAATACTATTGTAAAATAAAACTCTCTCCATTAACACATTATTACCTACTGAACACAAAACTAATGACATGAAACCCCACATAAAAGGCCACTAACAATTAATTACAAGCTTGTAATAGCATGTAAACCTTACAATAACTTATTGATAAAATGCATATTAAATAATAAAATATTATTCCTACAATACTTCTCTATAATCTTAATTTTTCCTGGCAACTACAAGCAATATAATGCCCTTTCAATATGTCAAAGTACTCTCATCCTTTGGTTGAGTGAAACTATCTTCACAAATCTCTTTCACATCTTCTAAATTTTATGCTTTTATACTAATGTACTAATTCTGTAGTTCTCTTTTGTCAATCAAGTATATTGGAATGGCTCTTATGCCATTTAGTTGTAATACAAAGTCTCACTCAAGTAGAAGAGGCAATTTGGGCAATTTACATATTTTACCGGCCTGATCAACCACTTTCATTATACTACAATTCAATTTAGGTAGGTTGTAGGTTAAATTTTAAGTATCTCTTGAAGTATCGTGTGGAACATGATCCATGTAATAACTATTATACATGTACATTTTGAACTTGATTTTGTTATTTACCTTAAATTTAAGTAACAAATTTATCTGTTAATAATTAAAGAAAATAATATGAAATAAACAAAAATGATTTTGCATAACCATCATCATTTATTAATAGATAGTCCACAAAAATTTGTATAGTTAATTTATTTCAATACATGGGTTATACTAGCCCAATTTTTGCATGCATACACATTTAAAGTGCAGATCGAATCTCATTTAGCCAAAGAACGGTTATTGGGCTACTAACAATGTGCACCCCATCTTCCCAAGCAATCGATCCGTATGAGCTATCATAACTCCCCGAGTGAGCATTCGTAAAAGTTATTTCGTACGATAGCGTATCGATTGTCGCATCAAACACTAATTTTGTTGGTGATACGCTTACATACACCCCTAAGGGAGCATTCACTTTGACCTCATAAATAACACATTTTTCGCTCCCGACATTTTTAACTGATCTCTTGTATTTTACCTCGTTTTGGTCTGAAAAAACAACTGAAAATGCTGGGTAGTTTAGAGACCCGGGTGTGCCCAGATTCTGCAGGGTGCAATTCACTGTGGAGGGATCCTTTACGAACAAGGATATTTGATCTAGGTCGTATCCAATGGTACATAAGAAGGCCACGTAATCACTCACTCCCAGATCGTAAACCAAACCCGGATCCAGTGCTCTATTCGGGTCAACATGGCCGGCTCCGTGAATATACGCCGTGGATTGATTGCCGTTGGCTTGATCGATAAAATTATCTCCGGCATTGTCGACGGTGTAAGCAGTTGTCATGAGGGCAGATTTAATGGCGGCGTGGCTCCACGTTGGACGAGCTTTTCTAAGAAGGGCAGCCGAGCCGCTGACGTGGGGACACGACATAGACGTGCCGGAGATAATGTTAAATTCTACCCGTCTCCGGTCCATCTCCGATCCCGACGGGCTCTCTGCGCCGGTCCAACCCGCTAAGATGTTAACCCCCGGAGCAATCACGTCAGGTTTCAAAATTTCCAATGTTATGAGATTCGGGCCGCGGCTGGAGAAATACGCTACGCGGGGCGCCGACGGGGTGGTTCCGATTACTGTTCCCCTGAATACAATTGCGGCGGTTGGCGACGGGTGGGATTTTATATATTCTTTGATTTTGTTTCCGTCCGTTTCGTCGACGTTTGCCGCCGGAATCACATGTGGGTTTGCAAGAATGAGTTCACCCCAGCTCCCAGCACCGATCATTCCCACGCCGCCGGCTTCTCTTACGGCAAATCCTTTCTCAACGTCGAGATTGCCTCCGGGCTCACAGAACACGATCTTTCCGGCGACTTTGGTGGCGTCGAGTTCTCCGGAGTAACAGTAAGTGCTGTTAGCATCGCCACCGTAGACCACCGGAAGTTTATAATCGCAGAACGGCTCACCGGAGTACAAGGACATGCCGGTGAAGATCCTGCCATCTCCTAATACCACGTCGGCCGGGAATGTCCGATCAATGGTGGAAGCACCAACGGTTAGAATCCACGGCGCGACGTTGACGGCAGTTGCTAGACCGGGGCCGGAATTTCCGGCGGAGCAGGAGACGACAACGCCGTGCTCCATTGCACCAAAAGCTCCGATCGCAATACTGTCACTAAAGTACGGCGGCGCGTAGCCATTGGAGCCAACGGAGAGGGAAATCACGTGGACGCCATCTTCCACGGCTTGGTCGAACGCAGAGAGGATATCGGAATCGAAACAGCCTAAGCTCCAACAGATTTTGTAAACCGCTATTCTGGCTTTCACCGCAACGCCTCTGGCCTCCCCTCGCGCGTATCCGAAAAGGCTCGCGTCGGCGACAATGGAGCCGGCGGCGGTTGAGGCAGTGTGTGTTCCATGGCCTTGCGTATCTCTCGGAGATTTCGATTCCACCGATTCATCTACCGGACTCCCCTTAGCAGCTTCGTAGCCTTTGTAGAAAGCACGAGCGCCGATGATTTTCCGATTACACAAACTCGCCGGAAACTCCGTACTATTCTCGCACTCGCCCTTCCAGCTGGAGGGAACGGGGGATAAACCCTCGTCGGAGAAGCTACGCCTCTCCGGCCAGATCCCAGTGTCGAGAACCCCCACTATAACATCATCTCCATACCCAGAGTTTGGCCAGAAGCCGCCAGACGATTCAGCTAAGCCTAAAAACTCAGGGGAGTGAGTGGTGTGGAGGCGGCGGGGTTGATCCGGCAAGACGGAGATGACGCCGGGGATGTTTCGCAGTTGAGACGCTTGGGAAGGCGTGAGGCGAGCGGAAAAGCCGTGTGCGACGCGACCATAGGTGTACAAGAGGTGAGAGAGAGGAGAAAGGCGGCGGATGATGGAGGAATACCAGTCGTGATGGGTGGAGAAAAGATGGGGCTTCTTGGATTTCGACATGTAGACGATAAAGGTCTCTTGATTCTCCGATGAGGTGACTGAAACAAGGCATAATAAGAATATGAAAAGGAAGGTGTAAGCAAAAGAGGGAGTCGCCATTGATGTACGTGGAGGTGATGAGTATGAATTATCGTTACAAGAAAAAAACTCTATTTAAAGCTGCCCTCCCCAACGCACATGTCCCGCGTGGACAATTGTTTAGAGCTACCCTCCCCAATGCACATGTACCACATGGACAATTTTTATACCATGCACATGCATGGTTAACCTTATATTATAGATTAAAAATTAAAAATTATATGTATCTATAATTAACAAAATATGTGTGTACTACAATTAATATATTATATATATGTTTATGCAGTTAACATCTGCATGAAATTAACATATTACATGTCTTCAAATTATTAAATGTACATATCAGGACTATGTGGTTTAATGGTACTTGGGTTGGATTTTTATTTGGAAGGTTTGAGTTTGAGCCTCCGTGGAGGCAATAGATACTACATAAGGTCCAACTAGAGGATTTTTCAGTTTTATGAAAATTTGAAGAATTAGAGAATATAAAACATAAAATATGTTTACTAACACAATTTTAAATTTTGAAAACTATAAACATTTTTCAGTTTTCTAAAAAAAAATTACAAAATTTTGAAAAATTATTTTTTTAAATGGAAAACAATATAGTCTATCATCCATTTGGTTATATATCACTATAAGTCTATAACTACATTCTCACCATTATTACCAACTTACATATTTATTCATTACTATGATTATATATTTGTTATTATCTTCTTTTATTTATCACCATTTTATATCTTTCAATCTTTCATACCCGTATTTACTTACTAGTTTTACACGCGCATTGCGCGAATGAGTTAATGCCAAATGTTTATAATTAAATAAATATTTCAAAGTATATCAATGCAAGATTATATATGGAAAGTTCATACATAAGTAATTTAATGTCGAATTTGTTTATTTAAATATGTAACTCATAGTATATGAATACAATGTAATATATGGGATTCATTATAGTTGTTACTAAACTTTTTTTTTTAATAGTAACCAAGTATTTGTGTTGCACATATATACAGTCAATTCTTTAGGTGTTTTGCTCCGTGTTCATTTAGTTAAACCATTGTTGTTGAATAAATTATTATGGATAAAGAAATTCATAATTTAAGGAATTTAGATGAAATAGTAAAAATTTAAATTTTTTAATTATAATGTAACCCAAAGATATTGGACGATTGGTAAATATGATGTAACCAAAAGATCAAAATGCTAAAGAAAGTGTTTGGTTATTCAACAGTTTGAAGCAACAATTTCTTCCAAGCTACTGAAAATACAAACATTGCAATTTACAATATTTTCACTTAGCGTTTTTTAGAATGATTTTCCCAAAACACATCTATATTTAAAAATAAAAAATAAAAAATTACTATAGAGGCATTTCGACACCTTGAATAACAAGAGCTAGTTTTGTTGGCTCCCTGGCCCAGGGCCCAAACATGGAAGGGGCCCACCACTCTAGCTATCTAATTACCTTTTATATATACTGTAAACGTTTCCTATAATAACTTATTATAAATTTCTAGAGTTAATTCCAGCAATGGTCCTCCGACTATAGTGATTTTCCAAAATTAGTCCTCAACTTTTAATTTGGATACTTTAGGTCCCTTGACTTTCAATTTCTTTCCAATTGAGGTCATTTCGTTAGAATACGGTTCATTAGACTTTAAATGAAGGGGTAAACTCGTCCTTTCACCTGCCTATGTATAATTCTTTGTATTTCTCCCTTCGTATTTCGCTATTATACCTTGTAAACATCTCAATAATAGAGGAACGCACACACGAGTAGTCAGCAAATGGGGAACGACGAGGAACATTTTAGGATTTCGACTAAGATTATCTTCATATATATCGCGTATACAATGGAGAAATACTAAGAATAATACACAGGCAGGTGAAATGATGAGTTTACCCCTTCATTTAAAATTCAATTAACCGTATTTTGACGAAAGGAACTCAATTGGAAAGAAATTGAAAATCAAAGGACCTAAAGTGTCCAAATTAAAAGTCAAGGACTAATTTTGAAAAATCAATATAGTTAGAGGACCATTGATGGAATTAACTCTAAATTTCTATTACCAAATTGAAAGCCAGCTCAGTTGGTATGGTTTTGGTTTCTATGTGTTATGTCTAGGGATCGAACCCATTTGTGTCTAACTATAACTATGTATCAAGATTTCCGTTCATATATATATATATATATATATATATATATATATAGATTTTGAATCCGGTGCACACCCCCTAGTCAGTCGAGCCCGTGAGCACACTCCCTGATCATTGATTTTAATTTTTTGACGATTCAGATTGATTACCACTTGGATCCATGTTATACTGATTTTAGATGAAGCATGGGTCTTTTTGTCTTTAAGCACTATATTTATTACTTTCCATTTCATTTATTTCCATTTTATAGAGATTTGTAGCGTTATTTCAGCTCTCCTTAATTAATATTTCTCTCTCTCTCTCTCTCTCTTTGTGATTTTCTTTGAGATTTTACGGCGGTGTGTGCGTGGGTGTGGAATGGTGTGTGCGTTTTACTGTAACAGGGCTCGTACACCATGGCATGCTGGTTTTTTTTTTTATAAAATTATGCGTTTTGGTATGTGCATTTCGTGATACAGGCATGTACATTTTGGTTTGTGTGTTACTAGTTCCGGGCATGTGCGAAACGTATCCAAAAGAAAATAAAAATATACGAATCTAATTTGGGTATCGGCGTTTGAATTTCGAGTAGATAATCAGTGCATAGTAGATATAGTATTGGACTTGTTGTTTGTTTGTTTTTTTTTTTTTAATTGTGAGAAATTTTACGATGGTGTGTGCGCGGGTGTGGAATGGCGTGTGCGGTTTTCTGTAACAGGAGGTGTACACCATGGCAAACTATAAAACGCACACACCATTCTACACCCACGCACACACCATCGTAAAATTTCCCATAATTTAAAATTTCAGATGTACAAAACATAATTAATTTTTATCATTGATAGGGTCCCTAATAATTTAAAATATCAATTTCCATTCATAATCTCCCTAATATAATGCTTAAATTCCAATCGAATTATATCCATAATTAAACATATATCTACAATTACTATTTAATCCTTTTGATTTAAATATATCATTAATTACTTTCATAATCTCTTATAATCTCAACCATTTATGAAAAATGAATCAATGGATATCATGAGATCTCATGATCTCATCTAGTATAGGGGTTGCACCAGATTCGAAGCCTATATATATATATATATATGGGGCTTAGATGGGTGAGATAATGGGGCTTCATCTCATCCATTAAATCATAACATATCAAAGGGTGAGATTGAAAGAGATTTATTTTCCATCTATGGTAGTAGTCTATGCATAAGGGTGTATAAGTAATTGTAATATTAGAGCTATATATGGTTAGGAATAGATTGAAATATATCCCATGCTAAGGATCAACTAATTATGGTGTTGAATAATATATTTATGGTTATAAATTATTGTTGATAGAGTGTGAGTTGTATTTAAACATTTGTACTCAGCAATAGTGTTTTGCGGTGGGATATCTCCTCAACAATGAAGGTGCAACCGGAAAGAGGTATGTGCAACCTTAATAGAAGTGTGTTATGAGTTATGTTCTGTCTGTGTAGCCATTTAGTTAAGTCGGTGCGTTGAGTTAAGAACCCAACACACAAGCCCAAAAACTAAACCGAACAAACGTTAGACCTACTAGAATCCAGTGTAAATTTTAAACCCAGAAAACAAAAAAAAAAAAAAAAAACAAAAAAAAAACAAAAAAAAAAAAAAAACACCCCTTGTAAACCCCAATCGCACAGACCATAACAACAAAAAACACCAAATAAATATATATAAAATAACAACACACCAACAGTTAATAGATCATAACATGTTACAATTAAAATACAAATACCAAAATTACTTTACGTAAAAAAAAATAAAAACCAAGCTATAAAAATATGGTAAAAGTTTGTCTCAATTCTAGTTGACAGTCCAAATAAGAGATATTTGGCCTGAAAACTTGTCAACCTATTTGTGACCCAACGCACAAGTCGAACACATAAAATGCATACAAAAAAACTTCATAACACAACGCAAACTTCTGTTCATTAATTTTTAAATTGAATAACGGAATCAACATGCAACAAAAACCACAACCATACCGCTGATTGATCATACCCGTCATAACAAATAATTTAAGCCAAACGTACACACAGGAAAACAAATTGCACACACAGCATAACAATGAATTGAAGCCAAATGCACACACGGGAAAACAAATTGCACACACCCGATACCATACCATAATTAAGTAGTGCACAAGCCCATAAAATCTGCTAATTAATTATTACACCCTAATTAAGACACTACCAAAAAGACAACAACACCCCCACATGCAAATAAATCACACGCACAAGGCATTATATTCAGCCAAATCTAATCCATCCAAAAACCCAAATAAACGCACCAGATCAAGCCTCACCACCTCGCCTGACAAAGGTAACCTCACCGGATCCAAAATCTATATATATATATATATATATATATATATATATATATATATATATATATATATATATATATATATATATATATATATATATATATATATATATATATATATATATATAGTGAAAGGTTCCCGTGCATTTGTTGCTTCCCGTGCGGATGTGCGGTTAGGGATGGCAACGGGGCGGGGCGGGGGCGGGGAATGGGGTCCCCGTCCCTGTCCCCGAAATATTTTCCCATTCCCCGTCCCCGCCCCATTCTCCGGCGGGAATGGAGAATTATTCCCCGTCCCCGTGGAGAGTTTTCGGGGACGGGAAATTCCCGCTCCGTTTTTTATTTATGCCTATTAAAAAATAAAAGACTAATTTTAAAAAAATTAAATACTAAACAGTTTACACTAACTACAAATTTTAATTCCTAAACAGTTTACTACACTAAACACTAAACATTTTAATTCCTAAACAGTTTGCACTAAATACTAAAATTACTAATTAAAATTCTTAATA